TCTCGTCCCCCGAGGGGGCGGGGGGCTCCGTCCGAGCGGATCTCCACCCTGGACAGGCTGCTCTGCAGCTGCTGCACCTGACCAAGACGGGAGCAAGAATGTCATTAAAACCCACGGCCCTTTGAGCCCCCCCCAAGCAATTTCCAGCAGGCCTCCGAAAGGCAAAAAACGGCACAGTCAGGAACTAACTTACTGGTACCTGGGACTCAGCTGTTTGGGGGGCTGCTGCCCCCCCAATTTCTGACTAAGGACCAGACAAGGAAGACCCTTCCGTCGGGAGGGGCACCTGCAGGGTCCACGGAGGGGGCTTCTCAGCTGGTGCCCCTGCAGATTGTGCTTCCCCAGGTCTCTGGGGTTGGAAATGTGATCCGGAGCTTTCAGCAACACTTTGGGCTCCGAGGGGTTGGATTTTCTCCCTGCCAGATCTGGCGTGGGGGGCAGCAACAGCGGGAGAAAGTTGGTCCCGAGGCGCTCTCTGTACTGGGGGGTGATCTCAGCGCTGTACAGGGCACCTGCACGCTCAGGGTTGCTTTGGACTGGAGTGCCAAAGAAGCCTATCGACATGGATAAACTTTTGGGGTTCATCGGTCATCACAATAGTGCCCACAGGCTGGGACTGGGCAGCTCCTGCTCACGAGGGCCAACAGCAAAGAAGCACACCTGGGTTCATCCCTGCGAGTGCCGTCGTGCAGGGGGAGGAGAGACCCTGCAGATAGGGACCGGGGCGATGCCCGAAAGAAGTGGCGGGGCTGTGGCCGGAGGGCTGCGGCCATCGCCTGGGCCTTTCTGACCCCTCCCCGGCCCAAAGGCCCTGATCGGGGCATCTGGCAAAGGTGCCGGGCGGCCCTTTGCTCAACCAGTTCCGACTCATAGCTCTTGGTGTCCCCTGCCAGCCGTCCTGGTGCCCTGTACCTTCCTCTGGAGCTTGCTCCGCTCCTCTTGGTAGGCCGAGAGGGAGGCGCCGGACCGCCGCAGGGCCTCCTCCTTGGCTCCCAGCTCGGCTCGGAGGGCCGCGTTCCTCTCTTTGTAGAGGGCCACCGTCCTCTCGTAGGCGGGGGTCCGGGGCCCCCCCGGGGAAGGGAGCAGGCCGCGCGGGGGGAGGTTGGTCCACTCATCGCCCCCAGCACCTGTGA